TGGCGGGCGGGGATGAATGGGCTGTGGGCCAGCGCTGGCGGCCAGTTCCGCGGACCCCTCCTCCCTCTGGACCCCTTCTCCAGCACCCCCTCCTCTCCCCGCACTCCCTCCTCTTCCCGCACTCCCTCCACGGGTATTGTCTGCTCCCCCGCCCCCGCCCCCCCCCCCCCCGGGGGCTGCTGGACTCGGGGGCCGCGGGAGCTCGGGGTGGGGGGCGTGGCCACCCTGCACGGCGGCGGGGCTCCCCTCCGGCGCCCGCCTCTGCGAATCCGTCGACCAGCGCCCCTAGACTCCCGGGTGGGCGCCGCCGGGTTGACTTTCTCCTCCTCCCGGGCGGGCCGTCGCTCCGTGGGGTGCGCTGTGCGGACTGAGTCCGCCGCCGCGAACAAGTGCTCAGGGCGCGAGGGAGCAGCTCCCTCGGGCAGGCGCGATGGTAAACACGTCGGGCCGCGCCCGCTCACGGGGCCTTTCGGCCCCCGGACTCGCGCGGCTCGGACACCAGCGCCCGGAGGGGCCGGTGCTCCTCCTCCCGGGCGGGCCGTCGCTCCGTGGGGTGCGCTGTGCGGACTGAGTCCGCCGCCGCGAACAAGTGCTCAGGGCGCGAGGGAGCAGCTCCCTCGGGCAGGCGCGATGGTAAACACGTCGGGCCGCGCCCGCTCACGGGGCCTTTCGGCCCCCGGACTCGCGCGGCTCGGACACCAGCGCCCGGAGGGGCCGGTGCGGTGCACACGAGCCCCGGGAACCGTGCAACCGGCCGGACTCGCTTGCAGAGTTCAAATGCAGCTGTGCTTCGAGACTAAACGACTCACTGCTTGTAGCAGTCTGGCCCTTTATTGCCCCCCAAAGTCAGCCAATATGTGTTTTGAAAAGAAGAAAAAGCCCGAGAATTACTGTTTTTTTTTTTTTCCAACAAGAAAGAGTAGACAGTATTTTTTGAAACTAGTTACAGCAGAATGATTCCATCACGTTTAAGTTTCTACAGCCTATGGTGAGCTCAGGGGTTCACAAAGTTGAGTTGAGCAATATTTTGGTGTTCATTCTTTGCTTTAATGAAGTTATTTTGAGAGAGTGTGGCCTCAGGCAAATAGAAAGTAAAAAGCTGAGTGCCCTTTTTTTGGTTGTTGTGACTACCGCCCCCAGTCTCTCTCCTCCTCTCGCACCGCACCCCGTTTTATTTTCAGAAGCAGCAGCTTATTCTGTTTGTCTGAACCATTGAATCGCCAAGAGGACAATTCTGCAGTTTGTGAAAGGTTGTTATTTGCAAGTTTGCAAAGGAGTTATGATCAGTTGAGATAAATCAGTGTTCGTGTCTTTGTAGGCCTTCCTGATCTCTTGAGGATTTGCGAACTGCATTATTAAGAACAAGCCTTGTCAAGTTTTGAGCGCACAGATTACAGTGAATTGGGTTCGTTGGGCTGCTTAAATTTTTTCACTTGAGCTAGCTTAAGAGCCTGTTTTTGGTAATGTAACAAAAATGTTAATTTCAGTTGTCATGTCCCTTTGCCATCTTGTTAACTTGGAAAGAAAATCTTGAGAATTATTGTGTGTGTCGGTTTGCTTGATGGATTTCTCATGCTAAGTGAATAAAGTATCCCTGGGTCTTTCCAGTTTGGTTGGCTTCATTGTGCTTTTAAACCAACTTTCTTCACCTGATGAAGGTGAAGAGCAATCTTAAGGTGTAGGCATTGTACTTCTAAACTAAAACAAGGTCACTTTTAGACTCAATCCTTGCTCTGTGGCTTCCCTTCCTGGGTGTGCAGTCGGTGCAGGCTTGTGGGGGGTTGTGGGGAGGGAGGTTGACAGGTTGGAAGGGGTTGTCCAGGGAGGGACCTAATGTAAACAAATACTGCTTCCAACATAATAGGACAGGCACGTAATTGCTTTCTCTCTCTGGGTTGTGATAGCATATTTTTATTGAGGCTTTCCTATACTTCATTTAGTTGCCTAGCTAAATGGTTACTGTATATTAGTAAAAATGGACTCCTCCTCTAGTCTTTTAACTCCTTGAGGGCTGTAATGAGCCTTGTTGAGCTTTGTCTCTGCCGGGAAAGAATCTTAACACACTGCAGGCATTTTGTATGCATTCGAATTAGATGAAATGCTTTTTATTGGTTCATGGTAGTGCATGTAGAGCCGCTGGCTTTGAAAACCTGTTCGTAATGACAGTTCACTTGCAGATCTGTGATGAAATTTCATGGAAAAGAATTTCTAATCCTTCTCTTAACTCTGTTAACTTCTTGAAAAGAAATGAGGTTTAAATATTGCATTGTGTGTTTAAAAAATATTTTCATTTAGAACCTTCTTCCCTCACGTTTTGGGTGAAATTATTAAACTGCTTGACAAATCGATTCACAAGTGCCCTTTTCTTCCATTGTGAAATTGGGAGGTAGGGCTACTTTAGAGAAAAGCACATTCTTTGGAGCTAGGTTAATCTGCGTTCAGATTCCCACATTTACACTGACTAGTTGTGTAGCTTTGACCAAGTTTCTTAACTTCTCAGGGCTTGTTTCCTACTGTTAAGAGGTGATAACTAGGCCAGCAGGTGACATGGAGATTGAGGTGCTGGATCCCACATGTCTACTTCAAGTCCTGGACCCAGCTGCTTGAGAATCATGCTGGGCATGGTGCAGTGCCTGCCCAAATTCCAGGAGGGGAATGAAGAAGGGATTGCAGTGTGGCCATCCTCTCTGGGGGGTGATTTCTCACTTTTCCTCTTATTGTCTCTCTCCAGTGAGTGCCATGTCTTATGGCAAAAACCTTAAAAAAAAAAAAAAAAAGTGAGGGACCTGCAGGTAGCATAATGGTTATCTCCCTGGACTCCCACATAGTCTACCATGATTTGAGTCTTGAACCTGGTGGCTTAGAACTCACTCTGGGTATGTGTGTGTGCACATCTAAATCCGGAGAGGAGAACGGCAGAGATGGGATTGTGGCGTGGTCATTCCCCCCCCCCCCCCGAATCATTTCCCTTCTCACTTTCTGTTGGTCTCTCTCTCGCTCTCTCTCTCTCTAGCAAGTGCATGTGCCCTATAGCAAAAATCTCTCTTTTAAAAAAAAGGAGATAAGTAACAGATGTTGCAATGTTTTTAGGAATAAATGAAATTACATGAGGTACTTATGCAGTGTTTAACATTAAGTAGGTGACTGTTTCTTAAAGCTGTAACAATGATTTTAATACATTTTCTATGCCTTAAAGCATTTTTAAAAGCTTAATGCTTCATGGCTGGCAGGTGACATGGTGGTTGGGGTGTTGGACTCTCACATGTTGGTTCATGATTGATGTCCCAGACCTGGCGGCTCACTTTCTCACTTTCCCTCTCTCTTGCTCTATTTCTTTCTGGTCAAATTAAAAATAAATTAATTAAATTAAACTAGTATATATATATATATTTTTTTTTTGGAGAGATTTTTGTTATAGAGTGTGTGTGCTCACTGGAGAGACAGAGAAACAGAAAGTGAGAAATCACTCCCTGCGGGCTGGCCATGCTGCAATCCCTTTTCTTCGATTCTTCTCTAGGGATTTTGGGCATGAACACACATGCACCCTTGCGTGAGTTTAAGCCGCTGTGCCCAGAAGTGCAGTCGACTACATGGAAGCCCAGCAACATAACCATTACACTATCTGCTGGTCCCCACATTAATAATTCTTAATAAAATAAAGTTTGATGCTTCTGAGTATAGTAGTAGTCATTTCTTTCATGAAGAAGGAATGCTGATACTTACGAGTCTTATCTAAATGCAGTTTGTTGAAGATGCCAGTTGAACTGAAGGATAATATTAGGTTGTCAGGAAAGTTATGATGTATTTTGCTATGCAAAAATGCGTCATGACTTTACTAACTACTCAGTAGAACCTACACGGTGTTTTATCATCTCTGTCACCTGTTAGTCTTTGAAACTTGCAGAGTGGTTTGGTAGTGAAGCACTCAGCAGTTGCAGTGTTTAGGAAAGAGAGATGGATTTTTCTCAATCTTTATAATAGAATATCTGATTTGAGTCAGTTTCAACTTTCTTAGTCTTAAAACTCAGTAGGCATAGATGATGTTATATTTCTCAGTTGCTTAAGATAGAACGCGACTAGGTGTTAACACAGTATTAGTCAAAGCAGAGACCTGAGCAAATCACTCAGTTCCTCTTCAAGATAACACTTTTCAAGGTGTCACCATTTACGGAAGAAAGCAGTGATTTAAATCTATTATACCAGCTCAGTTTAAAATACTTAACATCAAATGGAATAAATATAGTCTAGAAATATTTACCTATAAAGGACATTTCTGTATACTGAATTTCACCTTTTTATTTTTTGTAATTTGCATGTGCGCTGGTTGCGGGAGGGAGAGAGACAGAGAGAGAAAGTGAGAAAGCAACCCCCCATTGGGGATGGTCACACTGAATTTTTACTTTTTAGTCAGACCATGAGCCCTTGTTGGCCAGAGAATTAACCTCTACTAACCAAGATGATCAAATATTCTTTAATGGTTATGAATTAATTAAATGTGTCACAGACTTTTAAACTGAAGATAAGGAAAA